ATTTTGAAGGATCCATCATTTTTCCTTGAGTGGATTGTTGTACCTTCTGCTTCTTTACCCCAATTCTTCCGGTCATTTCCTCGGAAATATCTACTCCAGCATTATTCTCATTGAGGTTAGGTAGGGAAGCAAAGCGATTTGTAATCGTTGGTATTGGCTGGATAACATGTTTATGTTGTTTATTGCTTCTGTTTCTTCTGCTGTTTGATACATTTGTCCAGTTATCAGGTTTGAAACCGGAATGATTATATTCCGAGCCCTGGTTTAAATCATGCGTAACTGAGTCTGTTTTAGTGTTTCTTTCTTCTTGTAATAACTTTATAATTTCTCTGGCCGAATAAAGTTCCAAAAGCACTTCTTCATACTTCATTTTGTTTTGGTAGCAACAATTACATACATTATCAGTAAGAACTTCTGCCGAAACGATGGAAACTGGAGCCGCTGACAAACCGTAAGTCTCAGTATCCGCCATATTCTTCCACTATTCACCCAGCCAAGATTCGAACATAAATCCTTCCAAATACAGTTTTTCCATATTATTATGCACTGAGTACTGCAAAAAATAATTATCTCTGGTGGTATAACCCAAAAATTCAACATTGATCATATCAAAGTCCACCACAGGATTCAAGCTTGAGCCAGTCTTGTCCACATCCAAATGTGTTTTGCTTATTCTCTGTCTTAATATTAATCATCCTTTCTCCTTTGTCTCAAAGGTCTCAAAAGCGGCCATTTTTCAAAACATTTCCCTATCAAAATATTACATGTAGTTCTTGTCTCCCCACCATCCTAGCCATCCTATTCTAGCTATATGCCCAACAAACTATGGTGTCCTAGAAAAGTAAAGCTGTGTTTTTGATAGGATTTCAAGTTTTTGGTTCCCTAACATATATTTTGTATTTTTATTTATTTACCCATTCAAGATCTGATATAATCTCCATATTTATGGTGGACCATTAATACTTACAGTATCTTTTCTTTTTTGTGTAACAGAGTAGCTGCTTTTACAAATTCTTCCTTTAAATAAATGGTCACCTTGCATATGCATACTGATCGTGTCCTATCATGTCATTAGTGTTTTAAGTCTGTGTGTTGCCTCATGTGTAGCACAGACAGTTAAATACTGTTCATGCAGTTAACGAGATATCTGTACTGAACGTGTTTGTCATTTAGTTGCTGATTATGAGTTGTTTGGAAACTCACATTACATTAAATTTTGAACACATTGATCAATATCAATATCAAATTGCTTGAAATAAATATCTTCATTTTAGTTTCTAGTGTTGCACATATCACACATTAGTGCTACTGTTAGTAGTTAGATTAAGGTTTATAGTTATGTCATGATTTGTCTCCTGATTCTTGTGTTAATTTAGAAGTAAATCTCTTTAATAAGAGGTTACAATCCCTTGCACATAATTTTGTTCATATAAGCCTTATAAATGCATGTACTGAAAGATTCCATCATACTAAACATGGCCTGCATTTAAATAATCAAGGTCAAGTAATAGTAAATCAGTCCTACAATGTATCTAAAAGCAACATCAAGTTCAAAAATAATTTGAATCAGTTTATAAAAATTTATCATCAAAATATTTGTGGACTTCAATATAAAATTGACGAATTGGTAGCCTCTTTATATTTCTGAACACCATTTAAACCATATGCAAATTCAACTTATTACAATGGATGAATACAAAAGATGTACTGAATACTGTAGACAGTCCTTTCAAAAAGGAGGTGTATGTATATATATACTTAAGGAACTTTCATTTACTTCAATAAATTTAACTAAATTTTGTAAAGATAAAGACTTAGAAGCATGTGCTATAAAACTTAAACTGTCAACTACAAATATTTGTATTCTTACTATTTATAGATCACCAGTTGGTAATGTTCAGTTTTTTCTAAATGGTCTTGAGGCTATTCTCAAAATGGTATATCCTCTTAATTATTTGTCGTGATTTTAATGTAAATTATTTTGAGGAATCCAAAGAAAAAAAAAGAACTAAATGATCTACTAAACTCTTACAATCTTAATAGCATAATCCAATTTCCAACAAGAATAACCAAAAACTCAAGTACAACTATTGATAATGTTTTTCTCGATATCACCAAATTTACTCATTTTATTATATCTCCTGTACCAAACGGCTTATCAGATCATGATGCCCAAATGCTCGATATATGTACTAGTGAGAGAATTTTTAAATGTTCCAAAAAAGAAAATTACATACATTAGGAAATTTTATGTATTCAAGATTCAGGAATTTCAACATCAACTTAGTAAAGAATCCTGGAGTAACGTATTTCATAATTCCAATAGTGACGTGAATAATATTTACAATTCCTTTCTGAATATATATCTACAAACTTTTCTCTCGTGTTTTCCTAAGAAAAAGATTTTTGAAAGACAATCGACAAATAAATGGATTACTAGTGGTATCATTAATTCATGTAAAAAGAAAAAGGCTCTATAACTTTTAGTTAAATCCAACAATGATGTAAATTTAAAAAATTACTACTTAAGATACTGTAAAATCTTAGCTAATATAATAAAAGCTGCAAAGAAATTATACTTTAAAAATAAAATCACACATGCTCATAACAAAGTCAAAGCTACTTGGAATATTATAAAATCGAACGTAGGAAGAAATATCAATGAGCAAGTTATAGATAACATGGATGAAAATAATAAAGAACTCTCTTCTAAAATTAATGCTGAAAAATTCAATGAATATTTTATAAAAATGGCTGTTAATATCTCTGAAAAGATTAAAAATAAAAATAAGCAAAATACAAACAATACGAACTACTCTCCATACAACTTGGCTCAGCTTTATAGTCTTAAGTACAATAATATCAATTTACATAACACTTCTACCGGTGAGATTTTAAAAATTATAAAGAACTTTGCTTGGAAAAATTCACAGGGTTTCGACAAAATTCCTTTGAAGCTATTAAAAATCAGTGCACCATTTATTGCTTCTCCTTTATGCTACATAATAAATAAGTCTTTATCTACAGGGATTTTTCCTGACAGAATGAAATATTCAATTATTGTCCCACTACATAAAAAAGGTGTT